CCCCAAAACCCCAAAACCCCAAAACCCCAAAACCCCTGAGAAATTCATTAAAATTGATTATTTATTTTCCTGCATAGAAATTCCAGATACATATCGAAGAGTCTGTGCTAACTGTAACTATCTGCTTCTCATCTGGGGTCCACTTTAGCTTTGTAATTGGCCCTGAGTGCCCGACTCCCTTGGTAATTACCTCAAAACTATCAGTTCCTGTGATGGAATAAATATAGAGCTCATTAGTCTCAGTTCCGAAAGCCAGGAACTTTCCACTAGGAGAGATTTGCAAGGTTAGGACCTTATATGGGTACACAATTTCAGCAATTGGATTGATTTCATCACAGTCCCAGAAATAAATGGGAGCACCCTGTCCACTTGTCACTAGCTCAAGCTCGTTATCTTTTCTCTGAGTCATTCCAAACAGAGAACCGTTCTTCGTTGAATGCCCGTTGATTTTAGATTCGGTCTTTAAATCATATGTGCAAATAGATCTATCCATCGAGCACGAATGAATAATATTTGGCTCCTTAATGTCTGGGAATAGAGATACGACATCCTTTTTGTGATCGTGGAACTGAATTAACAATTTCCTATTAGTTCTTCCCCATACTCTAACTGCTCCTTCCTCTCCCCCTGAGAGGATATAATTTCCATCTGCGTAGACGCTTGTGACTTTGCCTTTATGAGCTCCTGCTATTTCCCAGACAACAGATTGAGTGTTTGGATCGAATCATCTGATGAAGCCATCAGCCCATCCAGTGACTAGAGTGTCGTCTTCTGCTACTCAACTAGCACATCCTTCAATTCCTTTGCCTCCTGAGGCAGTGAAAATAGTTTTGTATTCACTGTTGTCCCAAATCTTGATAATTCCTGTCTCATCAATGCACACAAATTCATTATCATTATTACCAAATGCGATATCATTAATGCCTCCATAATGAGCATCTGTGTGGATCATGAATGATAGATCACTGGTAAGCATTCTGTAGATCTTGCTTTTATCAGTTCCAGCTATTACTTCCTTCTTGTCGATACTGAGCCCTAGAGAGGTAACTCTTCCATCGATCTGAGCTTCATGGGTGAGATTCCATCTTCCTCCTTCAGTCGAGATCTTCTTGACCTTACCATCACCTCCTCCGATGAAGATCTTATCATCCATAAGCACAATAGAGAGGAGACCATTACTTGAAAGAGGCATAGTTGCCTTATAAATCTGGTCATAGATAGAAAACAGGCAGATTTCACCTCCACTGGTTCCTGCAAGCAGCATTCCTCCGTTGATAGTGGAGAACGTGTAGTTCCTAGTCAGTCCAGTATTTGGAAGCTGACAACTTCCCTCATTCAAAAAGTACTGCATTGAGCTAATGTCGTACTCAAGAGTATTGATATGCACTGCTGAAGAAGAAGCAGTTACAATGATATATGAAGGATGCTTAGGGTTCACATCTGTCTGAATATCTCCCCAAGCCATGATGAGGATCGGATGTTCGAATACATGAGTATGAATAGCAGATCCATCATTTGTGTCCCAGATAATGAAAGTGTTGTTCTCTCCTATTCATGCCAAGAATTTCTCATCTGGAGAGAATGCAAGTCTCTTAACACCAACTGTAATTCCTTTTAAAACTGCTAAAGGCTGTCTTTCTTCGAAATCCCACAAGATTACGGGAGCTTCAGGAGTTTTCTGGAAAATAGATCCAACTTGTCCTGATGCTAATAACTTTCCTGAGAAGCTTGTTGCCAGGGCCGAAATTTCCATATCATGACCTCTAAGAAATTCTTGCTGATGCTTTTCATGTAAGTTCTCGATAACGATAAGACCCCCGTTGTTATAAATAAGAGTATCTGCCTTTGTAGGGTGATACAATAGTGTTCTCTGGTGTTTCCCAGTATACCCAATAGAATGAGCTAGCTCGATGAGTTCAGACTTGCCTTCTGCTGCTTCCATCTTGATTTGAAATAAATTTATAAAAATTTAGATATATTTTTAATTTATTCTAGAATCGAAATTTCAAGCAAGTATTCTCTAACAGGGGTTTTGGGGTTTTGGGGTTTTGGGG